GATCTTGTAAAAATGTAGACTCCCAAGTCAGTGGGTGGGTGGTTGGCGGTGCTGGGCTCCCAGGTGGTGCTGGTGCTGCTCATCGGGGACCCCACTTTGCGTAGTGAGGGAGTAGAGGCCTCCCAGGAGGCCTCCACCGGCCTGAAGCTCTGCAAGCCCCCAAGCAGGTACAGCCCCTGCCCCTGGTGAGTCCTAGCTCCCCCGTGGCCCCTGCAGGGCTGCTGCTGCCCGCCACCCTGCTGTAGGTATTCTTGGCTGTCTTTGCGGTCTCCGTTCTCCCTCTCCTGGCTGTGTGCCTGGAAATGAGCAGCAGAATGCAAGACCCCGGCCAGGCGAGGCACACACAGGACTGCCTCTCTGCAGAGCTGCCCGGGCTCCCCACTCCACCCCGCCACCCGGCTCTGGCACCGCGGCTCCAGGAGCCTGGTGAACCAGAAGCTTCCAGCATGGAAGCACAGCTCCTTCTCCAGTGAGGCTTTTCCCAGAGACGTGTTTCAAGTACCGATATGGTGTCCTTGTGCTTCTGATCTTGCCAGCCTTTCACGAGCCATTCCCTTGAATGACGACAAGCAGTCTTGATATGCTGGGTTAAAAATCTTTCAACTGGGGCTTGTTTGTTTATGAAACAGCATCAATTATCAGGGATTTCCAAACTGGCTTCCTTTCTACTGGCGTCGGCATCCAGAGCGGCGCCGCCAGCCGCCAGCCGCGGTGACAGCCGTGTTTTGGTGTTGCTGTTGGGCCTCGCAAGTCTCGGGGGTGGGAAGGGGGGCCCGGCGTGTTTGGAGCGCGAGGGATAAAAGCTCGTTGAAACACCTGTGCTCCCGTGTTCAGACGCTCCCCGATCTCGCATGTTTTATTTGGTGGCTGTTATTTTGCAGCACGTTGTGAACGGAAATCATTATCAAGAACGTGTGCCGGGGGCGCCTGGGTGGCTTAGTTGCTTGAGCGACTGCCTTCAGCTCGGGTCATGATCCTGGAGTCCTGGGATCGAGTCCCGCATCGTGCTCCCTGCTCGGCGGGGAGTCTGCTTCTCCCTCTGACCCTCCCGACCCTCCCCCCCTCTCATGTGCTCTCTCTCTTAGTCTCTCTCTCTCTCAAATAAATGAATAAAATCTTAAAAAAAAAAAAAAAAAAAAGAACGTGTGCCGGGAAGAAGTGGGTTTTCATGGCTCCTGGCCCCCCAGGCTGCAGGGGAAACCACAGTGCTCGCTCTGCAGAGGGACAGCTGCGGCTTTCATCAGGAACCAGCGAGGGGCTTCTTGGCCGCTGGGCAGAAGCAAACCTAAGCAAACAGTGTGGGTAAAGTGAGGCAGAGAGAAGAAAGGCAGGGGGAGAATTTGCCTTGAAGGAGAGAGAGCGTTTGGCTCAGGCACTCACATTTTTTAAAAATTTACACATTTTCCAGAAGCAAGTGGCATCGAAGAGACTAGGAGTATTAGGTGTCCTTTGGGGGACAACTGCAGGAACCCCAGCTCAAACCAGCTTAAGCAAAAGAAGAGGTTTATGTATTCATGTCAGAGAAACATTGAGAGGTGTGTCAGCTTCAGGTATAGCTTGATCCAGGGCCCCAAACAGTATCTCTCCTCTCTCTCGGGGAGGGCTTCATTCTCAGGTAGGCTCTCTCTGGGTGCAGGCCCCAGGCAGCCCCAGGTACCATACCATCAGCTTAGCAGCCCCAGCAAAAAGGAAGCTCCTTTCTGGAAAGCCATGGTGCAGCCTCTCATTGGCCCGGCTTGGATCAACTTGCATACTGATCCAGTCCCTGTGGGCAGGAGGAGCCAGCACTCAGATTGGCCACACCTGGGCCTTCCTCACACGCAGCCCTGCAGCCCTGGGGTGAGTTAACTTCAAACATGGCACAGGGATGAGAGAGGACCAGGGTGGCTCCCAAGGGAAATCAGGACCATTGGCAGGCATCGATAAGCCCAGGGAAGCAGCAAGTGTCCTCGTGCGGCATGTGGAGCAGTCCCCTGTGCCCCCTTCTCAGTCAGCGTAGCATGTCCTTCATGTCAGTAAAACAGGAGGCTTTGACTCACATCAGTGACTCAGAACCATCTTGAAGGATTGGTACCCCTCAGAGTGCCTGGGTGGTTCAGTCAATTAAGCATCTGCCTTTGGCTTGGGTCGTGATCCCAGGGTTCTGGGATCAAGCCCCATATCAGTCCCCCTGTTCAATGGGGAGTCTGCTTCTCCCCCCCATTTGTGCTCCCTCTCACTCGTGTTCTTCCTCTCTCAAATGAATAAAATCTTTAAAAAAGAAATTGGCACCCCTTCAGGGCACCAGGGTGGCTCAGTCGGTTAGGGGACCGACTCTTGATTTCAGCTCAGGTCATGATCTCTGGGTCATGAGATCCAGCTCCGCTCAGCAGGGAGTCTGCTGGAGATTCTTTCCCTCTGCCCCTCCCCTGCTCTCTCTCTCTCTCTTTCTCTCTCAAGTAAATAAATAAAAAAAAAGAATTGGCAGCCCTTCTTAATATCCAAGATGTCTAAAGAACTCCCACAACTCAATACCAAAGAAACAAATATCCGATTAAAAATGAGCAGAGGACCTGAACAGACATTTTTGCGAAGAAGACAGCCAGATGGTGGACAGACATATGAACAGATGCTCAACATCACTCATCATCAGAGAAATACAAATCAAAACCACAAGGAGATACCACTCACACCTGTCATTATGGCTAAAATAAAAAACATAGGAAACAATAGGTGTTGGCAAGGATGTGGAGAAAGGGGTCCCCTCGTGCACTGTTGGTGGGAATGTAAACTGGTGCAGCCACTCTGGAAAACAGAATGGAAATTCCTTAAAAAGTTAAAAATAGAACTACCAGAGGACCCAGTCGTTCTACTTCTGGGTATTTACCTGAAGACAGCCCAAGTGTCCATCAGTAGATGCCTGGATAAAGAAGACATGGTGTATAGATACACTATGGAATATTACTCAGCCAGAAAAAAGAAGGAAACCCTGCCATTCATGACAACCAGATGGACCTAGAAGGAAGGAGGCTAAGTGAAACAGGTCAGAGAAAGACAAATACCATATTATCTCACTCACGTGTGGAATCTAAACAAAAGAAAACAAAACAAATGAACGAAACAGACTCATAACTACAGAGAACAAACCAGTGGTTGCCAGAGGGTTCCAGGGAAGTGGGGGATGGGCGAAATGGGCAAAGGGGATTGAGAGGCACAAGCCTCCAGTTATAAAATAAATAAGTCCCAGGGATGAGACGTACAGCCTAGGGAATACAGTCGATAGTATTGTAATAACTTCTGGTGGTGACTACATGTACCGTAGGAACAGTTCATAATGTGTATATAATTGTTGAATTACTATGTTGTGCACCTGAAACTCATATAACATTGTGTGTCAACTATGCTTCAGTTAAAAATTTTAAAAAGTCATTTATTTTTAAAAAAATGGCGCCCTTTTGAGAATTTGAGACCCATGGACCCATCCCCTCCCAGAAAATACACATGGTCAACCATTTGCCTCTAATTCCTAGGGGACACAGGCCCTGCAAGGGTGCCTGGCACGGAGTCGCTGGCCTGGGTGCTCCCCCAGGCAGCAGATCCCAGGCTCAGGGGAATACCGGGCTCCCTCCGGTGCCTGCTGAATCAGCATTTCTGGGCCAGGGTGAAGGCCTTCTTTGTTCTCTAACTTGGAGGAGACAGAGTGGCCATCTTGAAGAGACTCCACCCCAAGAGCAAAGGCAAGAAATCTCATTTGTGTGCATTTTTCTTGCACTTAGAGCTGCTGCTTGCCTGGGTTTACTTACTTGGAAGTGAAACGAACAAGGCTTCAGGCGCACGGGGAGTGCTTGTTGTCACTGATGTTGTCCCCAGTGGGAGGTGAACACATCGGTCATCGAACCCAGATGTCCGTGATGATGAGCCCATTGAGTCCTGTGTTTCAGTTCCACACGGCAGGCTGGGAAACTCGGGGGCTTACTGCAATGCTTGGCGTACAGCAGGCATCCAATAAATGCACGTAGGGATTAATTAAAGGATGAATGAGTGAGCAGGAAGTGAGCAATGGACTATTCCAGAAGTTAATTCTTTAAAAACAAACTGGGATGGTTTCACACTAGAAGACGGGGCCTGGATTAGAGCTGTGAGCAGGCGCCGTGAACACGTGGCCCTTCACCCCCACCCACCTGTCCCACCCAGAGTGCGTGCCCTTCTCCTCTGTCCCATCTGCCAACCCTGGCACCACTGACATTGGGGCCGGGTAACTCTTTGTGGCGGGGGCTGTCCCACACCTAGGATGTTGAGCACTCTCCCTGTCTCCACCACTACCTGCTAGTAGCTCCCCTCCCCCATTGTGACGACCACAAATGTCCCATAGATTGCCAAATGTCTTCTTGGGGCAAAATCACCCTAGATAAGAACCCCGTCCTCACGTTTTATATAAAAAAAGGGTCCCGTTGCCAAAAAGCAGGGACTCAGCCACTTGCACTAAGGATTTAGGAGAGACCGGGCTTATCAGAAGTGGGCTCTGTGTCTTTTCTGCTGGGCTCTGGTCTGGGCTGTTTACTTTCGAAGGCCCTGCTCCCTTGGGTCCGGGGCTCCTCTGTGAAGGAGAAAATGGGGGAGCTGAGGACCCCAGCTCTGCGGGAGGGCGTGGCAGCCAGGGGGCCTGAACTTTCAGGAAGGCTGTCCCATGACGAGAGGGATGACGTTATAGCCCTACCTGCCGCGTTTGAGCGCCGAGGGTGCGCAAACCCCACACTAAGCATGGGACACGCTTCCTGCCGTCGGATCTTCAACACCAGGCAACTGTCATTAGCCCATTTTGCAGCTGAGCAAACTGAGTCTGAGAGAGGCTGTGTGAGTGGCCCGAGGTCACACGGCAGGTCAGTGGTGGAGGTGGATTCTAACCCAAGCTTCCGTGGCAGGGAGGCCTCTGTCTGCATCTCTCCCTGGTGACCTTGGAGAGCTTGGTACCTGGAGCCCCTGAAAGATCGCTCCTGAGGCTCCACCCCCGTGCGGGGAAGATGCTGGCCCTGGTCTCAGGTGCCCAGAGTCCGGCCCGGGGTCCCCTCCAGCTGACCGTGGTGCTGTTCTCTCCCCGTAGGGTGTTTTTCCTGAATGTGCCATTCGATTCTGTCATTGAGCGGCTGACCCTGAGGAGAATCGATCCTGTCACGGGAGAAAGGTTGGTGCCAGGCTCCCGGTGGCTGGCTATCTGAGGGCTCCGGGGGTCGGGCCCTGGTGGGGAGCCTCCCCTGTCCGTCCGGCTGACTGATGATGCCACAGCAGGATGGGTCTGGGCATGACACCGACAGAAGACTCTAGAAAGGGGATTCCTCCAGTCGGTTCCCCTGGGCAGTGTCTGTGGACCCTCCGCCTGGGAGAGTAGCCAGGGAATGGACGTCCGAGGCGAAAGGTGTGCCCACTCTGTCCCGAGTAGCAGTTCTGACCTGCGCATGTGACGTGGCTGGATTGGGCGGGCGACCCCGAGACGCTGTCACGGTGATGCGCACGGCCGAGGAGGCTCCTATAGAAACATGCCTATGGGAACCAGTCCACCAGGGCGCCCACCCTGAGTCCCAGGAGGTGAATTCTGAGTTTTATCCTGCGGTCGACCAAGTATAATCACTGTGTTGGTGCTGAAACGCAGTTGAAAGTCCCCACAATCACAAAGAGGTAGAAGCTTCCATCCTCGCTGGCACCCAGGGCCACGTTTCTGGGTAGGGGCACTCAGGAGTGGAGTGGGGAGGGGCAGGAAAGAAACACCAGGATTTTTCTAAACTACAGGTTGATTTCTCGTCCTTACGCCGAGGGAGGGTCTCACTGACCCATGTCAAGTCCAATGGCCTTCACACTGCCCTGCCCCTGGGGTCCCTCCCTGTAGTGACCGTCTGTGGCCCTTCCTGTCCTCTCCGCTCACATTTGCTGTTACGATGTCCCACTCCCCCATTCGGCTGCAAGCTCTAGGAGCACAGAGCCAACACTGTCTTGCCTCACATTGCCAGGAGCAGACATATTGCCAGACAAATAGCAGATGCTTGATAAATACTGTTCAGAGGGAAGAAGAAAAGGGAGAAAGGAAGGGGAGGAAAGAAAGAAAGGAATTGGGGACTTAATATATTCTATTCTGTCCACCTGTCACTGACCTGCATCCTCCCCGGGGGAGGGACATGCTTTGCGTCTCTGGGGCACCAGGGCCCAGCTGAGGGTGTGCACACTGCTGGTGTGCAGTAAATGTTTGCCGGTAGTGGGCACGGTGACCAACTGGGTCAACAGTGGGACAGAAGGCCCCTTCTTCTCCTGCCCTCCGGGCCAGAACATAGGTCACCTGCTTCCCCTGCTCTCTTGTAGGTACCACCTCATGTACAAGCCCCCTCCAACCATGGAAATCAAGGGCCGCCTCCTGCAGAACCCAAAGGATACTGAAGAGCAAGTCAAGCTCAAAATGGATCTGTTCTACAGGAATTCCTTGGAGCTGGAGGAGTTCTATAAGCACGCCATCATCCTCAACGCGGACCAGGACCCATACACAGTGTTTGAATACATAGAGAGTGGGATCATTAATCCTCTGCCCAAGAAAGTTCCCTGATGGGCTCTGAGCAAGGAGCATCCTGCAGGGAAACAAAGTTAATGCCCTCCCCAACCTCCTGGAACCTCAGCCGAGCCAATAAAGAGTGCTGGGTGCAGTCTTATATGTCCTCAAGGTGAGGTGGCGAGAAGGTGGCCTTGTTTTGGGGTCTGGGGACACGGGACGGACAAAGCCCAGGGAGGCAGTGGAGGGCAGCAGGGCTCCGGGACCCACGCGCCGGGTGCCCTTGGACGAGGCACGGACCCTCAGAGCCTCACCTACAACCAGAGCAGGGGTCATGCCAGTTCCTGCTCGTGGGGCGCAAGGGAAGCTCTCAGCCCAGTGCTGGGCACACAGCAAGTGCTCAAGAAATGTAGTTTTTAAACGCCCCCCTCTCTAGAGCAGCCCTGTCCCGCAGTGCTGGGCACACACTCTCTGCACCGCTCAGCACGGCGGCCACGAGCCATAGACAGTTACCAGCTAATTGCACTTAATTTTTACTAATTTAAATATAAATATATTATAAATATAAATTTATATTACAAATAGAAATAGTTACAGGTGGCTTCCTGGCTGCCACATGGGACCGTGCGGTTCTAGACACACTTAACTGTTGCTTAAGAGGCGCTGGAATCCGGGCACCTGGGTGGCTCAGTCGGTTAAGCGTCTGACTCTTGATTTCAGCTCAGATCATGATCTCAGGGTTGTGCAGTTGAGCCCCATGTTGGGCTCCGTGCTGGGCGTGGAGACTGCTTAAGATTTTCTCTCTCTCCCTCTCTCTAAAAAAAAAATAATAAAGTGCCAGAACCCCTTAGAAGGCCTGCTCTCAGGTCCCAGGGAAGCAGCCCCTCTGGGCCTGCAGAGCCTGCAGTCCACAGGTGTGGACACCAGGGGGACAGGACGGCCGCATCCTCTGCTGATGGAGCTCTTGATCCTCTTCCATGAGCTCCCTCCTCCTCCCACCTCCCAGGTGATCTCCCCATCAATAGAAGAGGACACTGCAGCCACAGAGGGTGAGTGACTTGCTTCAGGTCCCCTGGAGCCACCTACACCTGAACCTGGTGCTCTGGGACTCTCTGCCTGTGGGACCTCGGGAGGGCCAGGTCAGCCTGGGCCCCAGACTGCGGTTCCAGCCTCTTGGCTCTGAGGATGCTCAGTTACTCTGGGCCTCATTCCCCTTCTAGCCTGGGGTAGCCCAAACCCCTCCAGCCACGATCTGACCCTGATCCCGGCCAGGCCTCACAGGCCTGGGTCCTCTCTCCAGGGGTGACTTCTGCTGGGCGACTCAGCCATTAACCCTCTCTCCCTGCCCTGTTCAGACACTGGGTCCCACCTCCTGAAACTCCATCAGAGGCCTTCCCCTCCCAGACCCCACTTCTTCCCAACCCCCACAGGGAAGGGGGTGTCTACCCTGAATGTACCCTGACAGTGGGCTCCTGCCCATTGTCCCAGTTACAGACCACATGACCTCAGGTTGCAAACGCTCCATGCGTGATGAGACTCTGCTAGCTTACACTCAGCACCCCCAGATTGGAGGAGACAGTAAAGCAGAAAGGTGGCCAGCCCTGGCCTGGCTAGGATTGCTTCCGTTACCCCACTCTAGTCCTCTGCATGTCATTTTGGATCCCACTTTACCAGGACTCTCCCACGAAACACCATTTGGATGTAAATCCTTAGCCAAAGACACAAAACACTCATTCACATATTAACGCTCATTTTGTGGACGCCCTGCTCTCGGGGCCTGGCCACACCACCAGCTCAGAGGTTCTGCACGCTCTGTGCCTGCTCTGTGAGGCCCGTGATGTCCGCCCGGAGCATGGGCCGCGTAACCAGGCAGCCTGGGTCCCCACGCTGCTGTGTGATCTTGGGCAAGTTACCTAACCTGTCTGGATCCTTGTAAAACGAGCAAAATAGTCATTGCCTCGTAGGCAATGCTGAGCAAGTACTGGGGATTAGTTAATGCAGGTTAAGGCCAAAAACAGGGCAGGGCACAGAGTACATGCGGGATGAAGGCGCTGGCCGTCTCACCTGATTCACAGCTCCCCCAGAGGTCAGTGCTGGGAGAAGTGAAATGACTTGCCCAAGGCTGCACGTGGCAAGTGGCAGCAGGGGGTCAGCCCCCAAGTGCCTCTGCGGGTCCCCGAACTCCGCGTGGGCCCGGGGTTGGCACCTGCTGTCCCCACTGTCGCTGCCCGGCTGGTCCCTGCGGGTCCCTGCCGCCTTCCGCGCCCGCCAGCATCCCGGATTCGTCGGCGCCTGTGGGCCGGGGACCGCGCGGGCTTCATTGAGATGCACTGGCGCGCGCGCGGATCCCCGGCGCCCCCCTTGGGTGTGCGGCGGGCTGGGGCGCAGCGCGGGGTCGGCCCAACACGCTGGGGCTCGTGTAGATCGCTCCCCCGGAAAGGAGCGAACGGCCTCGTCCTTTCCCCCCGCCGCCGCCCCTCGCGTCGCCCTGCGTAGCAGAGCTTCCCGGCTCCTCGGCTCGTCGCTGGGAGGCTGCGCGGTGGCCAGGCCCCTCTGACAGCAGCCGCGCTCCAGCTCCCCGCCTGCTGGTGCGGCCGGCCTGGGCAGTTCGGGCGTCCAGGTCCAGCCCCCGCGACGCTGCATCTGGGGCTTCCCGGCCCAGAGGGGCCCAGGCCCGAGGCTGGAGGGCAAGCGTCTGGCTAGCTTCTCCATCCGCGGCTGTGCTTGAAGTTACCCACCGAGTCTGATTAGAGGTCACTTGCGAGGGAGCAAGTCGCTTTCGACCTTGTCTTCGTTAGAGTAGCTGCTGGGGTCGTTTCCAGTCTCTTTTATCAGAACGTTGTCACCGCAGACTCTCGCTCCCGCTCGGCTCCCAGCGTGGCTCAGGTCTGCCTTTGTGCCTGTCCCCTCCCTTCCCTACTTCCCTGGCAGTAGAGATCCGGGGGTGCCAAGGCCCCTTGGGGTGTCTGCCGGCCACACCCACAGCCTCCACAGGGGCTTCCACTGTGGGACTGGGGTTACACCTGCTGGTCACTCTGAGCGGGCCGACCAGCTTCTCTGTCCCGGGAATTTGGGAGGACAACCAAGGGCAGCTGACGACTCTCTTCTTACTGCTTGCAGGAAGGAGAGCACTCCTGGCGCAGTGAAGCACAGCAGGGCAACAGAGCGTGAAGCAGGCACGTGACCACCTCATGCACTCAGCAAGTCCCCCAGGCTTCCTGTGTGCTGGGCACTGGGGAGACAGGAGACAAGGGGGAAGGATGGACTCTCTGCCATTGCGAAGCTTCTGCTTCACAAAGATGAAGAAACAGAGACGAGAGACAAAGAGACACCATCTTATTTCCAGTGGTTCCTGACTCCCATCTCTGCCCTCGGGTCCCCTGTCCTCCCAGCATGCTCCCCTTCTTTGGCCTCGGGCATCAGACCAGTTTCTCCGGCACAGTGGTGCGGTCAGGACTAGAGTAGACGGGTGCCCAGGAGCCGGCGAAGCGCGCAGGAGAGACTTCAATGAAGCCAGCGCTCAGGGCAGTCCCCCAGCGGAGGAGAAGGGGCTTCAGAAGCTGAGCTGAGGCACATATGAGGATCCAGAGGAACGGGAACAGTGACACATTAGTTGACCATGGAACATGCTTCCAGTTTAAAAAATAGATAATTATAAATTTTTTTTTTTAAAGATTTTATTTATTTGACAGAGAGAGACACAGCGAGAGAGGGAACACAAGCAGAGGGAGGGGGAGAGGGAGAAGCAGGCTTCCTGCCGAGCAGAGAGCCCGATGCGGGGCTCGATCCCAGGACCCTGGGATCAAGACCTGAGCCGAAGGCAGACGCTTAACGACTGAGCCACCTAGGCGCCCCTAATTATAAATATTTTTATTATTGCGATGTTACTTATAAAATACCCACAACACAACAGAAGCATATCACATTGGACATGGAACTCCCATTCTTGCCAGGATAAAACCCTTAATTGCCATTCACTAGAGATAAGTAGAGGCAGAAGTTTGGGGTGGATGAATGGATGGGTGGGTTGGTGGGTGGGCAGATGGATACATAGGTGGGTGTGAACACCAATGTGTTTTTAAAAAAATTGTAGCAAGAACATTAAGCACGAGGTCTACCCTCTTAACAGATTTTTCAGTGTACAATACAGTGTAGGTGAGTATAGGCACGATGTCGTATGGCAGATCTCCAAAAGCTTTTTTTTTTTTTAAGATTTTATTTATTTGAGAAAGAGAGAGAGCATGAGCGGGTGGGGGGGCGGGGGGGTGGAGGGAGAAGCAGACTCCCTGATGAGTGGGGAGCCCAATGCAGGGCTCGATCCCAGGACCCTGGGATCATGACCTGAGCCGAAGGCAGAAGCTTAACTGGCTGAGCCACCCAGGCGCCCCCTCCAGAACTTTCTTATTGCATAAGTGAAACTTTACACCTCGTGAACAGCAAGTCCTCACGCCCCCTTCCCCAGCCCCGCACCTGCCATTCTGTGTCTGTGAGTTTGACTATTTCAGGGAGCTCACATGAAGGAGATTATGCAGTTATCTGTCTTCTCGAAACTGGCTATTTCTCTTAGTGTCATGTCCTTCCGTGTGTCGCATGTGGTGACTTTCTTTAGCAAAACAGTTCTTATTTTTTTCACCAGCGGTCTGGGTCTGCCAGACAAGCTCTGACCCGTGGGGCTGGCCGTTCCTTCTGCTGGGTAAGAGGGCTGAGCTCAGGTTCACGGCCATCAGACACTTCTACTTAACTGTGAACTGGGTTTTGGTGATGCCCCAAGCGGTAGAGTTTTTTCTATTTCCTTTGCAAATCTTTTCTATTTCCTTTGCAAATCTTTTCCAGCTGATACTGGGCCCAGAGACCAGAATGAGGATGTGACGTGTAATTTCCATGTAAATAGCCAGGGGAGCACCTGCCCCTTTATTCTCAGAAATGGCAGAACGCTCCACTGATCTCCAGGTACAGAGGAAGGACCCCAAAAGCAGACCTGTTCACAGGCCCAGGCAGGACGTACCAGGACCTTGCACCTGCTGCCCCAGCTTCCTGGGGAGCTTGCACCTGGAGGGGTGCAGGCACGAGGACCTCATCTGCAGTGACAATGTCATGCTCTCCACAAGGCCACCAGAAGACAGAACTTATGTCCTCACACGCAGTGGAGGGAGATGCGCGAAAAGAAACCT